AGAAGGGATAATTGTCAAAAGAGTAAATATGTACTTGACCACCGATTCAAGCGAGCCAGGCTCTATCAAGATTAAAGGTATGAGCTCACACGTAAAACAACATCGAAGTATCTTGTATTAGCAATCGCGGCTCAGGTTTTTGAAACGTATTCTCGCGTGAATGCAGCTTGGTCAAAATGGAGCTTGATGACTGGCGTTCGGTGTGATAAGAATAGCATACTAGAACGACTTTAAGGCACGCTCCGCGATTAGGCGCGCTCGCCTGTTCCATCCAGGGGGTAGTAGGCAGGTGGACAAGTGTTGATGTCGCGCCCCTTTTGCCGCTTGAAAGTGCGCGACAAAGGCGCAAGGAGCTCGTCCGACCCGCAACCAGAGTCAACCCTGCGTTGCGCAGTTCGCAACGGCACGTTGAGAGATCCTCAACGCACGCTGTATGGGCGGAGACACAGACGGCTCGAGCATGCGAGTGTGAATGTTCGCGCGAGAGAACGTGTCTAATCGGGCGAAACTGCGCAACGTGGCCGTTGAGAACTGCGCAACGCAGGGTTGACTCTGCCCGCAACCACACCTTCGTCCGCAAGCCCCACCCTCGCTGTCGGTTGCCACGTGGCGCTGCTTGAAAAGCGCGGGCGCATTTGAGGCAGCGGTCCCAGCGCGATCCAATGTCATTGGCACTGGAGCAACTAGAGTTAGGTTCGTGAAACTCGTCCAATTCGCCTCTTCTCTATCCCAAGGTGGAATGTGGCTGAAATAGGGGAGGTCTCTGTACGGGGCGTAATCGGTGGTTTCGTTTGCTTTCCTTCTCTTTTCCAGACCAGATTCATTTATTTGATAATAAACCTTTCGAGAGAAGGAGAAGAGAGGGACGACAGCCGATCTCAAATGTAAGATTTGATCCAAAGTTTAGGCATTATTCTTACGTGTGATAACCCCCATAACGGAGGGCTACCAGCCGCTCATAAGACTGAGGGACAAATCAGTGTAGAGATTTTTTTGACGTGATGTCCTCATTCTGACAACACATTCGGAGCAGGATATCTCTAGTAAAGCTATAGCAAGCTGTCTTCATTTGTGACAGCCGTGATTACCCACTAATACGCTAGTTGTGGTTTTCTCTCAGAAGCGCTCACGCATGCATAACTCTGAAATGGATGTACGGCTCAGCCATCGACACTCGATGTTAGGAAATAGACCCTACAATCTTCGAGGTGACCCAGAGGTCCATTTATATGAATGGAGTCAGTGCAATCACTAATCAGTACTCTGCTTCTTTCTGCCTCTCGGTTTCGTAGTGCTTTCGTTACGCTATCACTGCTTTCCACATTTATATAGGCGGAATATCGACGATTTTTGGTTTCAGATGACTGATATACAAAAAGTGAATAAGTCATGTGGTCTAACGATAAGACCTTCACCTCATGCGGTCTAATACATAGTGCAACCAGAGTCAACCCTGCGTTGCGCAGTTCTCAACGGCCACGTTGCGCAGTTTCGCCCGATTAGACACGTTCTCTCGCGCGAACATTCACACTCGCATGCTCGAGCCGTCTGTGTCTCCGCCCATACAGCGTGCGTTGAGGATCTCTCAACGTGCCGTTGCGAACTGCGCAACGCAGGGTTGACTCTGGTGCAACTTCGGCGGTCCAGCGCAGCATCTTTGTCTCTGTTACATTAGTGTGTGTCACAAAATTCACAGCACGCGTCGCAGCAGTCATCAGGAGTGATTCTGGGATATGATATGAGGGTGGGACGGGAACATATTTGGTGGGGTCAGAAAGTGATAACGACTGATAAGAGCTGATAAGAGGCGCAAAACGCAAATTTCACGAAATTCATAGCGCGCGTCAGCAGCAGTGGGGCGTTGGTTCCAAGAAGTGATGTAGAGGGTGGGACGGGAACATATTTGGTGGGGCTAGAAGTGATAACGACTGATAAGAGGCGCTAGAACGCAATTTCACGATCATAGCGCGCGTCCCAGCAGCAGTGGGCGTTGGTTCCAAGAAGTGATGTAGAGGGTGGGACGGGAACATATTTGGTGGGGACAGAAAGTGATAACGGCTGATAAGGACTGATAAACAACGATATGCGTAAGAACATAGAGGTCACTCAAAACCAGATTTAGATAACGCATTTCATTTCAATATCATTTCTTTGCGTTGTTATCTTCAGCCCAAAATACCATTCGGCCGCTACACTCCCAGAGTTCCTAAAAATGTACGGTGGATGTTTAAGAAACATGATAATGAGTACTGGGTATTTCATTTCAAACATTAGCATCAAAGGTTATTCGACCGCCAAATTATTCTGACATTCAATACATGGTGGTTGTTTACAAACACTTCTATAGCTCAGTACCGCGCGTATCAAGCGGAAGTCAGCCAACTCCTTTTTCGAAGCAACTTATTTCTTACCGGTGGAACCTAACGCTCCACCGACTGTCCAGTTTCACCGGAGCCTTCTTTGTCATGCGCGCGTTTGTTTGCTATGTCATCGTGACACCATTGGGATCGCCCAGCAGACGGCGGGCTCTTTTCCTTTCTGGGCTAAGGATAACAACGCAAAGAAATGATATTGAAATGAAATGTGTTATCTCAAATCTGGTTTCGAGTGGCCTCTATGTTCTTACGCATATCGTTGTTATCAGTCCTTATCAGCCGTTATCACTTTCTGTCCCCACCAAATATGTTCCCGTCCCACCCTCTACATCACTTCTTGGAACCAACGCCCCACTGCTGCTGGGACGCGCGCTATGAATTTCGTGAAATTTGCGTTCTAGCGCCTCTTATCAGCTCTTATCAGTCGTTATCACTTTCTGACCCCCACCAAATATGTTCCCGTCCCACCCCTATATCATATCCAAGAATCGACTCTGTGACGCGCGCTATGAATTTCGTGACACACACAAACGGAAAGAGTTAGCGTTTTATATATAGTAGAGATATGTTTATCCCATTGGAATAGAAGTACCCTTTTCTCGTATTCCTACATTCGTACAACCACATATACATTTTTAGGGACTCTGTAGTTTAGCGATCGAATGATTTATGCAGATATGACAACGCAAAGAAATGCTATTGAAATGGAATGCGTTAGCTATAATCCGGTTTTAAGTGGCTCTTATTATATCAATATTGTTAGACCTTATCGGCCGTTATCATTTTCTGACTCTTACCGAATATGTTTCCGTCCCACCGCCTACATCGCCAGTCGAAACCAACCTCGCTGCTGCTGGGACGTGCCCTGTGATGTTTCTGGTATCTGCGTTTTGAGGGCTCTTTTCAGTCTTCGTCGGCTATAATCACTTTCGTTCCTACATCAGACATGTCCCTGTCCCACTCCCTACATCATGTGCAAGGGACAGCGCTCCACAAGTACAGCAAAGCGCGCTATGAATTTTGTGACAAACAGACACACATGTGCAAACACTAAGCTTGTTTTATATGTAGCAGGATGACAACAAAAAAAGCTGTTTATTTTGTAGTAAATGCACTCGACCATTTATTAACAATTTAATTGCAAAGAACAATGTGATTAGTGAGGCGAAATTGAATTTGGCCTTTCCCGTAGCATGCTCAGTATTTCTTTCTTTTCAGCACCAATAAACGGCCTTTTCGGGCCTCCATCTTTCTGAAAGATATTCTCTGTCTAGACAATGTTTTTTGAAGGAAAGGGTGAAGGAATACTTCTCATGCGTTAGATATCGAAACAAGCAAAGTGGGGCCAAAAAATGTAAATAATCTGACCTATGAAAGGCACCATCATTTTTAAACTTTTACGATATCAAGAGCACGCCGCGTGCAATTTCAAATTCAAATCCAATAGAGTTCGTTCAATGAGAATTTTACGCAGATCTCACTCATTCCTCTAACAATCCATGTAAATGGCATGATTCCGGAGCTGTCATCCTTCATGTCTTCACGAAGCAAGCACTCATTTACCCTGCTATCCAGATTGATGGTGTTACATGGCAACATGATCCGGATTGTCCCGGAGGCTCTTGCCTACCGCCATCAGAACACACGTCAAGTTGGACGCTATGACGCTAAGTCCGAATGTGGGAGTAAGGCTGCGCTGGTTATCAGGAGCAGCTTGGCAATATAGGGGCGAAGACGCTGGAGCCCATGCGCTGAATTCATCGTTCAGCAGCCATAGTGGGAACTGATCGAGTTTCGCTTAGAAGATCTTCGCTTTCCGCTGCAAGGTAAAGACGTCCAAGCGTAGAAAGTACCAATTTCTAAATGGTGTGAGTAAAATGTCAAGAGAGCACTAGTGCAATTTGTGCAGATGCTGGCTCGACCTCGTAAGAGCCGATGTTTTCAATTGTTTT